CCGGCCGGGGCAGCTCAGCCCCGGGAGGCTGTGTTGCACAGCGCCCGCAACGATTAACCCGCTGGTACACCAGCCTCCTTTCCCGCTGGCTGCTGGGGACCAGGACGCGGTGAATCCCCCAAGTCCGTGCTGGGACGGGGTGTGCAGGGAGCTGCAGACTGACTGCACAGGCCAACTGCAGTAGCCATGCACCTCCCGGGAGTTGGGCATCAGCAGCTGGGCTAGTCCTGGGTGAGGGTGGCTGCCAGCAGGAGAGGCAGACAACAGACACATCCCCAAGCCACAGGACCACAGGATGTTCACATGGGGAAACCTCGCCTGGTTCCTCTTGTTGCAGATAATCCCTTCAGGAAAGTGAACAGAGGTGTCTGTGGTTCATATGTGAGAGCACAGGAGAGTGGGGAATAACTGAAGGCTGTCTCACATGCACAACAGTCAGGAGGACGGTGTGGAGGAAGAGGCACAGAAGAGCTCCTGACAATGTCCCAGCCCTGAGCTCTGTCCCCTCTGGTCCCCAAGCTCTTGTAAAGGTGCAGGAAAAGCTGCCCAGGTTCAGCTTGCCAAGAGGCACCTCCCTGCACATGCACTGCAGACAGGCCCACACTGCAGAGGAACATGGGACCCAATTCCCAGCAGTGGATTTGGGGATCCTTGGGAGACACAAAGGAGTTGAGGAGGCACATGCAGTCTCTTCAGTTGGCTTCAGAAGCAAGGGAAGGGCAGGGAAGAGGGCTGGGGTGCAGGAAGACAGGACGCTGCAAGAGCCAACCCCATGGCATGGAAAGGTTTGTGATAGCAAACAAAGGATCAGTGTGTGGAATTTGCTGTCTGTAAACACAAACTGAAACACACCCGGCATCAATAAGCAAACAAACCCGAAGGGAAATGTGCTGCTGGGTAGTTATTGCCCCTGCAGTTGCGGCCACCCAGAGCACTGCAGCTCTGCACCAACAGGGCCATATGAGGCATGGGCCATAGAGGGAACAGGTGCTTGGGTGAGGACTGACCTTGCTCTGCTGCATCCCGTGGTGCAGCAGGGCTGAGAAGGACAGGGGAAAGCCCGGGATCTAGAGCAGCAGCCACATCCTGCCAGCAAACCAGGAGAGTCAGGTACCTGCACCCAGCAGAGGCAAGACCCAGGCTCTGTTGGCAGTGCCTGGGTGCTGCCCACTGTGTGCCCAGGATTGTGCTGGCACCTGCGGTGATGGTGCCTCTTGCTCAACCAGCCTCTCTGTGCAAGAGTTCCTCGTGACAGAAACTGCACAGAGAGGGAAGGATGGAGTCTGCTGACCAGCAAAGCCACGTGTACTGCTCTGGAGCTGCTCCTGGCCTGTGCAGGCAGGTCAGGGATGCTCCAGGGTGCTGGGAACAAGCGCAGGCAGCAGGACAATGTGGACAACTTGTGTGCCATCAGCAGCCCCAAGATGAGCATGGTGAACCCATGACCCCCAGTCTCCCCCCACACACCAGCAGCTTGGTTCCAGAGCACACCAGGCACAGCAAGGCTCCCCAGCTCTGTCAACCCATGCTGTGCTGGGAACCAGTTTTGGGGAGAGCACAGGGGCAAAAAAAAGCCATGTTTGCACCAGGCAGCAGAGCAAGGGTGGGAAATCACACAGGGATAGAAAACGAGGGTCCCTCTCCCTTCCCTCCTGCATCCTGGGCACCAAGAGCATCCTGCTCTCCCCAGCCCAAGGAGGCAGCTGGAGGTGACCGCCCCAAAGCTGTCCCCTGAGCTTTTTTGTGTCAGAAACAGTCACTTTCTTTTCACAGCTGCTGGTGCCGCTCACTGGGAGCGTGGCATCATAAGGGTTAAGCGGGGAAGCCAGGAGGAGAGCTGGTGTCCCAGCAAGCAGCGGGGTGTTGGCACTACTGAGGCTCAGGGAAGAGGCTGGAGGGTTTTGTTCGTGCAGAACCTCCACCAGCGGGAAGGTCCCTCCCAGGCCACGCAGCTCTCCGGAGCTCAGAGGAAACAGCCGGGCCCCGGAGGGGCTTATTGTCATCTGGGAGGGCCAGAGCCTTTGCTGCAGAACATCTCCCTGCGGGGCCCACTCGGTGAGACGTATGTGACAGGCAACTACAATAGCAGCAGCGTGCCAGTGCCTGGCTCAACCCTTCCGCTCCAAACCCCAGTGCCCAGTGAGTGGTGGAGCTGAAGGGCAGCACCTCCAGAGAACAGCAGCTCCCTCTCACCCCCGCCCGGCCTGGGGGATGCGGCACTGGCACACACAAAGGCAGGATATTGCACCACTCACGTCCTCCAGGTCCCTCCGCAGCAGCACAGGGCAAGCAGAGTGGGTTACTCAGGGAAGGGAGCTGGGCTGGGCTGTCCTGCCAGCCCACATGGGGAGAACCAGCAGCGCCACAAGTGGGTCCCATAGGCTGGAGGAGCAGCAGTCCCCCAGCCTCAACACTGTGATAATGACAGCCCATAAACCCTCGTGGTGGCACCAGGCATGGGTTATGCCCTTCACCCTGCACCTCCAGGCTCCCTGAGACCCTATTTCCCCCCAAGCGTGGTGCTGCCAGCCCTGGACCCTGCCTGCACCATGCTGAACATGGAAAGGGAGTAAGGCACGAAGGTGGGAGGCCCTGACAACCCAGTGGGATGAAAGCATGCTTTTGAGGAACAAGGGTGCCTGAGACCCTGGGTACCATCACTGTGTGGAGTGAAAGTGGTCACACTGGGGAGGAGCAGAACAAAACCAGGAAAGGGCTCCTGCCCCCAGGACTCTGCAGAGCCCCAGGGGTGGCAAGGAGGCCTCAGCTCCTGCATTTCCTTCCAGCTCAGCCCTATTTGCTTCTGGGTAAAATCCATAGCCGGAAAGGTGAGGCTGAAGACATTCTCCAGTATGACCTGGAGAAAAGGACAGATGAGGCATCCTTCAGCTGTGAGCCCACCTCCTCTGCCAGCTCCCAAGGCTCCCTGCCGCTCCATTTGCATACCTGCCATCAAGGGCCACGTCCCTATGTCCCAGACCCAGCTGGCATCCACTACATTGCTCCTTCCTGCAAAACCTGGACGAGAAACCAGTTCTGAAGCCAGACTTCAGTTACCAGAGCATTACCCCAGGGAGCACGACTCCACAGAGCTCCAGCCTGGTGACTAGACACAGGCTGGAGGGACACCCACCCTCCCACTGTTATACATGTTTCTCAGCTACCACCACCTGCCCTTCACGGATCTACTTGGACGTCGCTGCTGGGGAGGCAGCTCCAAGCATGCCTGTGTAAACAAGGCAGCATGTTTGCCTGCAAACCTGCCGCTCACTGGAGTAGCTCATCCAAAGTTCAGCTGCTCAGGGGTTTATTAGCCAGTGAAGCAAGTTGCTTTGTCTCACTTGTACCCTCCCCAGTGCTGCCACTCACTTTGTTTGTTGGATACATGTAAAACAACAAGGTTCAGGTGTCCTGGAGACTACACGCAGTTACTCCTCACCAGGAGTGGCAAGCACATGAACTTTGCCTCCCTAAACACTGCCCTGCTCCAAATGGCTCGCACCCCTCCCCAAAAGCCCTGCTGGGCCTGGACCAGCCCTCCTCCCTTCCAACTGCATGGGTTCTAAAAATGCCTGGTTATCTCCAACTGAAATAATCCTTCAGATTTGGGGGCTTTCAGCTCTATTCACACCTTGCTTGCTACAGATCTCCTCTTGTGTTGTCCTGACCTTGTAAATAGGCTAGTCACCTCTTGATGTATCCCACTGTCATGACCCTACAGCTGCACTCTCACTTTGAGCAGTGAAGAAGGAAAGCCTCTTGGTCCAGGCATCCTCCAAGGCCTGAAGTACCTTCCACGGCTCCTAAAGCAGGTGTACCAGGCAGTCAAAGTTAGACAACACCAGGGCAATGTGTCCCAGCGGCAGAGGTTGCAAACCCCTCAGATCAAACGTGTGACCTGCCTGAGCTTCAGCCATTAATCCTCATGGCTCACAAACATCTGCAGCCGCATGTGAAAACACTGACCAGAATCAGTTTGTCATTGAACAAACTGCCCGCAGTGAGGCAAAGCCCCCCCTCCCCCGACTGCAGGAAGAGCCCACAATCCCTCAGTAAAGGTGGAGGAGGCTGGAGGCCTTCATAAGCACCGCGGTTCCCTTCATCTCAATCCGCTTTCTCTTGCTTTGTTACCCCCCCCCCGCCACTCAACCGCATGTCCCTGCCTGCTTATCGTTTCCTGGTACTTAGCAACACCATTGTCCTGCTCCGGGCACTGCAGCGCCTGCGTGCATCTGCTGTGGCAATGCCCCGCTCTCAAAGGATCCTTTCATGCTGCCAGGAGCCCCCCAGCACCTTCCAGAACCTTTCCCCGCTGCCAGCTCTCCTCTTACACCACGGCAGCCTGTCAGGGACGTGTTGCGGCCGCGGGACTCACACCAGCACAGCCCTGCAGAGGAGACCGCACAACCCCCGCCATTTATTACCGCTGGTGGAGGGCCCGGGGCCAAAGAGCCGCCCCCCGCCCTTCACCTCAGGCCCCGGGGTTGTGCGGGGGCGGCAGCTCACGCCTGAGGTAGCCGCGACGGGCCCGGATAGGCCTCGGAGAGTGGCGCACCGCAAGGGCGGCAGGATGCACACACACCGGCGCCGCCTGGCTAAACGTTACCGGGGCCCGCGCCCGGGCCCCGCCGCTGCCATTACCTCCCTCCCCCCACCCTCAGTGGGCCGCGCCCGCTGCCCGCACGTCAACAGGAAACCGCACGCGGTCGACTGTAAACACCACCCGCAGCCCCCAACCCGCCCGCCCACATGACCTGGCCCGCCCCTGCGGCCCTCTCATTGGTGGCAGCGGCGTTGTTGACCATATACGGTCAGGTACCAGCAAGCCGCGGGTGACGGTTGGTCGGCGTAGCTAGTCACTCAAAGCGCTCCGGCGCCCGGTGACTGCTCCGCAAACGTGGAGGGGACTGCTGGGAGTTGTAGTCCAGGAGGAGGAAAGGCGGTGCGGAGAGGGGGCGTGCGGGAACTACAACTCCCAGCGGCGCCCCAAGCACCGCCCGTCCCCGCTCCGCCCCTGGCGGCCGACGGCGGGGCTCGCCGGGCGCCGTGAGTCAGTGCCCAGTAAACATTGGCGTGAGCCGCGCCGGCTCCGCCATGGTGGCGGCGCCGTGAGAGAGGGGGACGCGGCGGCGGGCTGGGCGCGGCGGCGGCGGGCGGCTGGGGGGCCGGGGCCATGGACGAGCTCAAGCACCAGGTGATGATCAACCAGTTCGTGCTGGCGGCCGGTTGTGCCGCCGACCAGGCCAAGCAGCTGCTGCAGGCGGCCCATTGGCAGTTCGAGGTGAGGACGCCGCCCCGGGACCGGGACCCGGCCCCCGCCGAGCGCTCGGGGCCGAGCGGGTGTGTTCGTGCAGCGCGGTGAGCGTGGGCTGCGCCGTTGCCTTTGCCTGTGCCCGTGTGTGTCTGTCTGTCCCCCAATACCCTCACATCCCCGCTCCCAGCGCGGCGGCCGGCACGTGTCGTGGGCCCGCGGCGGGGGGGGGGACACACACACGATGACACGGGGACGTGTGGGGCGGGGGTTTTGCGAGCGTGCCGCGTTGCGTGCGCGTGGGCCCCGCAAGGGGGGCGGAGAGAGGCGGCGCGCGGGTGGGTGCGGGGCGGGGGAACCCGCGGGTGCCCAGCGTGGCCACGGCCCCTTCCTCCGGACCCGCTCCGGGCCTCCCGTGTGGGTCCGTGCGCTGGAAATCCCCGTCCCAGCCGTTCCCACGTCCCTGTCCTGGGAGTCAGTCCTCGGGAACCGTGGGAGAGGAGACTTTGTAGGTCAAAGCCATCCTGGCTCCAGACGTCTTTTCCTCTTGCTCGCAGGCAGGATACTCCAGGGTATTGACAGGGTTTAACGCCGCGGGTGGGGAGCGCCCCGCGGCCTGTCCGGGTGCTCTGTGCATCCAGAGAGCCCTGAGCTGGAGAGCAGGCGGCTCCGCGGCCTTAGCAAGCAGAGCTCCTTCGAAATAGGACTGGGTTTCCCTCGTGCAGCCCTAGCAACTCTCTGGTCTGGTGCTGGTGGATATGATGCTAATGGCACCTTTGTAATTCATGTTTTGTGATGCAGAAGGAGGTCTGAGTCGGTGTGGAGATCGGGAGGTTCAGTTTGTGTCTGTCCCTGTGGCTGGGGCACCCCTCCCGCAGCACCCCGGGTGGGTTCGAGCTCTGCTGGCAGGGCCTCACTCGGGGGCTTGTTCTGAAACGCAATGTGTCGGATGGATCAGGCGTGGAGGCAGTTCATCGCCATGCGATCTGCGTATGCTGACAGCATTCCCAGATGCTAAATGAGAGGCCAGGAGGCCTTCGAAGTCAAGCCATGCGTGGCCAGGAGCGAGAGTGAACGCCGAGTTGGTGTTCCCTTCTGTCGTGCCCGTTTACTACCTCGGCCCGCTGCCGGGAGCACCATTGGGGGTGGAAGTGTTGCATGCGTAACGTGCTCGGGGTTTTGTTTACTAATACAGCTTGACAGTGGCCCTCTGGGACGGGCGGGATCTGCTTCCGCCACGGCCGTGCGTGTCGCAGAAGCGCTGGGAAACGGCTGACAAAAGTTGCAGCTTTTCTCCCCAAGGGCTCTGCAGAACTTTGCCACCGTTTGGCGAGTTGCACAAGTACAAACGGCCGTCTCCTGCCGGCCTGGCACTCACATGACTCAGAGGAAGCTGGGCTGTAAACAAACGCTGCAATGAGCAGTTACCATGTTCCCACTCACTTTTGGTGCAACGGTCAGATAATTCCCTCTGCAAAATGGCCGCTGGGCATGCCTTCTTCGGGGAGCTGCGCTGGGGAGGTGGTGTCTCCCAACTCCAGCCTGCTCCCACCTCCTTCCTGGGATACTCCAAGGCTTTTGTTTTTCTGTGTAGTACCCATATGCTGCTGGCCTGTGTCTGCAGCGAGTGTAAACTGGTGGAGTTCAGGCAAGTTCCGTGTGAGTGAAGGCAGTGTAAATTAGCAGTCTCCTCACATTGACAGCGCTGCTCCAGGGGTGCAGTGTTAGTTGAAGCAGCCCATTTGCACACTGAGGATGTTGCTCCTGTCTGTAAGACCACCATAGAGTGAGGTGATCTGCACAGTGGAGCTGAGGCAAGCTGGATGGCCCGGTGACAAAACAGCAGGAGTTGGGTTCTCCCAGCAACGTGCATCCATCCTGGCTGGGGCACTCTTGGTGTCCATCTGTCCTGCCCGGGACCTTTCCGACCTGGGCATGTGCCCTGCTCGCTGTTTGTGGCATGTCACAAGGTGCTGGGTCAGTGGCAGGAGCAAGAGGGGAGGCCACTGTGAAACACTTCAGACTGGTGGGATCCTGATGTTTTGGGACTGCTTTCCTGCGCTCGTGGTGCTTTGGGGCTGTTGTGACTAGCGGGGGCTGCAGAGGGTTTGCTGTGCATGGTGTCCTGCTGCCCCTGGCAGACCTGGAGTTTGGAAGGAAGAAATGTGATCCAGGACCTTGAGCAGGTCAGGAGATCAGGAAACTGGGATACAGCTGCCTTCGATACAGTGTGAACTGATCAGAGCCTGTACCATGCTCTGGGGCTCGATAAGAAAGCTGCTCATTTTGCATCCCCTCTGTCCCCGGGGAACATGGGTAGTGTGTGGATTACCTGTTCCACTTGCCATGACTCCTGGTTCATAGGGACCCAGGACAGGCTTTCTCTTGAAGCACCATGAGTTCTGCTGTGCTTCCAGGGACAGCAGTGGTGGGTGCCAGCAGGAATGGCCATCCCAGCCCTCCAGCTGCTGGAGCAGTGCCATGGCTGATGGCAGGGGCAGGTTTACAGGCCAAAGAAAGCAACTTGGAGTGTCTCTGGGTGAAGGCTGGCACTCGGCCTCCGGGACTGCAGGTGGTGGCTTTTTGGAAGAAGCCAGGGAGCGCAGGAAGTACCTGAAACCCAGCAGGCTACCAGGGAGACGTTTCAGAGTTTGCATTGTGGTGCACTGGGCTCCTTCTCAGGTAGAAGAGCATTATTTGGCTTTGTTATGCGCTGATTGCTGCTGGGGCTGCTTGGGAAGGATAAGAGAAAACCCACCCGTTCCTTCCTTTTTCCTGGTGTTAAGTGTCTCTGTTCGGTGTAGTGAGATTGTGTGTGGAGAAGAAGAGCAGGAGCAGGTGCCTGGCTCTGCTTGCTGTGTCCGTGGTTGGATTTCCACTTCCTCTTCTAATGTATTTGTGTTTCATTGAGCTGCTTTCCTTTCCCTTTTCTTTGTGGCTCAAGGGCAAGGTGTCCCCAGGGCTGCTCTGGCACCATGGGCCTGATCCCCTCTGCTGGCAGTGGCTGCAGCTCATACATGCAGTCGAGATGGAGTAGGCTCAAATGCAGCTTGGGCTGGGGATCAAACAGCACCTGGCAATCCATCTGAGTGGCTGCAGAGGGCTGGTGTCCTGCTCCTCCAGGCTGAGCATGTTCTCTGCAGCACCTAGGTCTCCTTGCACTAATCTCCGCCCCAGCCCCTGCAGCCATCCGGTGACACGGGGTCACAATACGTGCCTCTTGGCACCCTGCAGGGTCTCTGTGAGCTGCCTCAGGGAGAGCTCCTGGTTTGTATCCTGGGGAGGACACAGAGTGGCCTGGTCCCCTGCAGAGTGTGGCCAGGGAGTGGGTGCTTGTGCCCATCTCACACTCAGGGTGATATGGGTGATGGGGCCTTTGGTGCAGGGTCAGAGCTGAGGAGTGTCTCGGGCTCTTTCTCAAGCAGAGGAGTGTTAATTGGCTTTGCTGTGGCACCAGTTACCCGAGCATTTGTGATGCTGGCTGGAGACAGGAAGCATCAGCAGCTTTGGGGACATGTGTATCCCTGGCACCATGTGCCACCAAGGGGCCTCTGTCCTGCTTGGGGTGGGACTGCTGCAGATCCTGGGTCCCTGGGTAGGTGGCAGCTTTTCCCATGGGCAGTGAGCAGAGGATTTGCTTCTGCTGTGCTTGGAAAGGGGCAGATGGAGGGGAGGAGACACAGTGTTTTAGGCAGAGGCGCCTATGATGGTGGAGTGCTTCCTCCGCAGGTCACAGCTTTCATCCCAGCATCAGCAGGGATTGGTGGGCAGCTCAGGGAAACAGTGGGGACCTTCTCTGTCCCTGTCTGCTGATGGCACAATCCCAGATATGAGGCCACTTGGAAGACAGGAGCACAGAACAGATTTAATCAGATTATGGTACCTGGCTGTGACCACACCTCTCCGTGCTTACTGTTTGCTGTTACCCCCCTTTCTTATCACAATCCTTTCTTGTCTGAGTGACAGGGCCGTTGTTGTTGACATCAGACCTCACCCAGGACAAAGGGTAACAGGGTGGGGGTATTGCTGCCTCAGAAATGTCCATGTCTCGTTAGACATTATCTTGATTCTTAGACACCGTGCATGTTCAAAGAGCTGGTCTCCAGGGCCAAAGACCCAATTCCTGCTGTATGGCTGCTGCTGGAACCCGGTGGGCCTTGCCTGAGGGTGCTGAGGGCTCTCTGATCATAGCCTGGCTGGGTACAAGGTTCAGGTACTGCGTTATTCAGTGCAGACAGAGAAGCACAGCTTTTGCAGGGGAGAGCTTCCTCAGCCCAGCTGTTGTACACTCTCCCCGAGGTTTGGGAGCTGGCTGTCTCTACAGCAGCAATTGCTTCTCCACCCAGGTCTGGATTGTTGTTTGCAGATACCGCTCCTGGCTGCCACCTGGTCTGGCTGATGGTTCACCACCACTCAGCCAGGAAACCATAAACACCTTTTCCAATGGCCAGCCCCAGCTCTCCAGCTCCCCAGTGGTGGAGGCACAGCCCCTTCACCTTCCTGGGGACTGCCAGCCTGGGTGTTTGGGGCAGAAGTTTTCCATTGGATCAGCAAGTTGGTCTGCCTTGCTGTCATTCATCCCGTCCCTGTGTGTGTGTGGTGGCAGGACTGTGGCTGCTGCCGTTTCGTGGTGTTTGGTACAACCTGCCTCTGCTTTTTCTAGGTTTTTCTGTATTTTACTTGTTAGCAGCTTGGGTACCCCCAGGCACCAGCTTGCAGGAAGGGAGCAAAGTCTTTGGTGGTGTGGCAGTGCCTGGCTGCAGCTCTGTGCCTTGTATCCTGCCTTGTAGACCTGCAGGGTGCAAGGGGAAGGTTGAATGGGGCTTTTCCTCCAACCAGAACCAAATCCAAACCACTTATCTTAACGTTTCTATAAACTCTGATCTACAGCCAAATAAAACCATTATTTTCTAGCTCTGAGTTAAAGTCTGAACAGGAGTCAGCTTCACCTTCACCGGTCCTGTGTCAGCCCAGTTTCCTGTGCCCCCAAAGTGCCATCTGCCTCTGCTCTTCCCAGACCTGGGCTGGGTGTTTGCCTTCCCGGACAGCCTGTGTTCCCAGTGTTCCCTCCCTGCTTGTCCTCTCACATGCCTGTGGCATGTGACACATTTAGCAGGTTATTACTGGTCTTAACTGGAAGCTAACTGAAGTGATGTCAGTCCTAACCGTACCCTGCCTGCAGCTGGATTGGAAATGCTCTGGTGTATGGGGTGGGCTATTTGTTGCAGCTCCAGCCCTGGGGATTTCCCAGTATGAATATTTATGACTGTGATCTCGTCCTGTTAAGGATATGCATGTAACTGGTTCCTCCTGAGTTTGGATTTCACTTCCCTCCTCTCCCTGCACACAGTGGTTGCAGAGCATTGTTGTGAGCTGTGAAATGCCTTTTGGGGTCCACTCCAGCAGTGGCCGCTTCTAAGGAATAAGCACAGTGATCCCAACTAGGTGTGACTGCTGATCACCACAGTGCAGGCCCACAGCAGGTGCGGGTCCCCGCTTGGGCATGCGGGAGCAGCTCTGTGCAGCACTCTCCTGTGGAGGCATGGGGGCTGCAGGCATGGTCCAGCCCACAGGGCCTGTTTTGGATCATCTTTGGGGTGTTGCAAAGCCCTGCTGTTGTGCACAGGGATGAGGTGGGTGCCCAGTTTGTGTGCTGGTGGTAACACCATCTTCTTTTTCTTTTTTGTTTTTCAGACTGCTCTCAGTGCTTTTTTCCAAGAAACAAACATCCCCTACAGCCACCACCATCAGATGGTAAGTGATTTCCTACCTCTGCAGCACTCGCCCAAGGCACAGCACCAGCTGGCCGGTGCTTCTGGCTGTTGCCGATGCCCAGCTCGCTGCTTCACAGCCCCAGTAGAGCAGGCAGGGAGGTCTGGCCAGGCACTGCCAGAGCTGCCTGCCAAGGAAGGTTTTCCTGGAGAGCGAATAGGGGTGTCATAGCCTGTCCTACACAGTGGGACAGCATGGTTGGGGCTGCCCTCACACCTGCAGAGAGGCTGGGGCTGCTCCTTGGGGAGGGACATCTCATGGAGGGTGTTTTGGGCATGGCCAATGGTCCAGATCAGCCCCAACATGGCAGAGACAGCCCAGGGGAGCCTGGAGCACTGCCCCCCTATAAGGTGTGTAAACACACATGCAGATGCATGCATGCTTCCCACTCTGCAGCCCAGACGCTCGTGAGTGCTCCTGTGCTTGCTGGAGCGACTGAGCTGGAGCACGCCTTCAGCACAGCGTGTGCAGTGTATGGATGTGTGTAAACACAAGAGAGCGTGCATGCACGTGGATGCTGCCTGCCAGCTAATCCCAAACTTGGTTCCTTAACTCTCAGGACATGGCAGCCCATAATCTGCTTGAGCAGATATGTCTTAGGGATTTGCTGGCTGCTGTGGTCTCATTTAACTCTCCAGGACAGTTGGGGATATGGAGCATGCAGTAAGTGTGCAGAGCAAGTGCCTGAGGGCACTGAGTGTGCCCAGTCTCCCATGAGGTGGGAGCTGAGCCAGAAAGCTGCAGGTCCAGGGTAGCACCAGTGAGCTGTGGGGTTGATGGGTCCCTGCTTCAGTGCAGGAGGTGGACAGGCAGATCCCATCTGTGCCCTTTTGACAGGAGCACTCACCACAGCATTAATAACTGCTGCTTGTGAGCAACGTTGTCAGCAGAGCACAGGTCCAAGGGCCCTCTGAGCCACAGCAGTGGGGGCAGAGGGGTCTTGCGCTGGGCCCTGATGGGAGGCAATGGTGGGTACTCCCTCATGCCTGATGCCGTGTCTCCTTCCCACAGATGTGCACTCCTGCCAACACGCCAGCCACGCCGCCCAACTTCCCCGATGCCCTCACCATGTTCTCCCGCCTCAAGGCCTCCGAGAGCTTCAACAGCAGTAGCCCCGTGGCCTCCATGGCAACCTCCCCACCACCCCCAGCCCCACCACTGCCCCAGCACGGGGCCTTCAACTCTACCTGGCCCACGGCTTCCCCCCCTGGCCAGCAGCAGAGCATGTGGACTCCGGCTGCCACGGCGCAGCCCTCGGGCTGGCCAGCCGCCGTCTCGCAGCAGGCCACAGCAGAACAGAAGGCCAATGTGACCATGGAAGCAGAGAGATGAGGCCGCGGCGGAGAGCGAACGCGGTGGGGACCCCTGCATATAAATATCTATTTCCCCCCCCCCTCCCCGAAGAGGAGAGGAACTCTGCTGCCAGGCATCTGGCAGCCGCAGAGACACACGAGCAAATAGCTGCCTTGCATGGGTTTGGTTTGAAGTAGTTTTTACTTGTCCTCGAGCTGAACAGAGCTCCCCAGAGACAGCAGGAGGCTGCGTGGGACATGGGACTGGTGGTGCCCTCTACCTGGGACCCTGCTGCCTCTGTGGGCTCAGGGAGGGAGTGCCCCCTTCTCTTTTGGGACACCGGAGTTTGCATGCGAGTGACATTTACAGAGGCGGTCCCTTCTTCATAGTCCCCTGGGCCACCTCACTGGGCAGAGTGGATTGTGCCTGAGTGTTTCCCCCCATCCCTTGGCCCCACTTGAGCAGGTGGAGGGCAGACGCAGACACCCCACACAACTTGTTTTTTTTTAAGGGCTGGAGAGAGCAAGGGCTGCTCCTGCTCGGCTGCAGCCTTTGCCCCGCATGCGCCATGCTCGCTGGTGAGCAGGGCTGGGGGACACCAGCTCCTGGGGAGGCGTCTGGCCTCTCATCCAGCCCGGACAATGCGGAGCAGGGGGTGACCCATGGTGGCCCGGCTGGGCCAGCACATCCTCCCCTGCCCTCCTGGGATGGGGTTTGCCCAGGGCTGTTTGCATGACACAGTGTAACCCTAGAGACTGGGATCATTTTTAACCCCTCTGTTCTTTTCTCCTGGCGGCTGGAAGTCCCTCTGGACACGCCGCAGCCGCTTGCAATACACGCTCTTCTGCTTTGAACCCTGTGTCCTTGCTTCGTTTGCAGCAGCAGTGGGATGCAGCAAAGGCTAGCCTGGGATTGGGATGTTTCAGGATCTCTCTGAGTGGCTCTGTGTGTGCTGTGCCGCTGAGCTGGGGCTGGCTGCATTGTGCTCTGTGTGCTGCTCCACACAGCCTGTCCCAGCCTGCAGTGACTGTCAGCCACCTTTGGCCAGTTGCATGCCAGTGCTCAGCCCCAGCAGAAGCCAGCCCAGATCTGCCCCACCACATCAGTTGTGGGTATGTGACCCCACCAGGAGCAGGGCTGGGCTGCGTGTCATCCTGGGTGTCTTGCTGTGACCTGGCTCTTATTCCGTGTATACTGGATGATGGGCCAAGTCCCATGGAGTTGCTCTCCCTGCTGAGCCCTCTCCTCATGAGGCTGCATCCCTGTGCTCACCAGTCAGTAATTAATTTCAATCTCTTATTTCTGTTGCTAAAATAAACATGGTAGGAGTGATGGTTTCACCTGGGCTGGAGCTGGTGCTGGCCCTTGTTAGCTTCCCTGCATGGGGCTGTGCCGGATCTGTGTGCCTCAGTCCTGTGAGTGGACCAGCGCCACCAGGAGCTATAGGATTAGGCTTTGAGCAACCTGATCTAGTGGAAAGTGCCCCTGTCTGTGGCATAGGGTTAGAACAGAGCTAGATGAGCTTTAAGGTCTCTTCCAACTCAAACCATTCTGTGACTCTAAAACCCACGCCCACACCATGCACTTGGACATCTGACTGATGAGAGAGCTCATGGGCATATAGCACATCCCAAAAGCATCTGGCTGTGGTCACCAAGCCCAAGGACATCTCATGTGCCTCCACTAGCCTAGGAACTGCACAGGAGAGGCAACGGAGGAGCCAGCATCTTTATGGTCTGCAGTGTTATGCCATCCAAAGAGCAGCTGCCAGGGCAGTGTGGCACCACACCCATTCCCTGAGTCCCTGGTGTTGCCCATCCACTCCCCAGATCCCCATACCATTTCACAGCCCCTGCCCAGCTCAGACACCTGAAGTCCTGCTGCTGCCCATGGCAGTCTGCCAGTGGCCCCCCGAAGAGCTTGTCTTCATCTGCATGGCAGCACCTGCAAAGCAGAAAGCCTTGCATGGGGCATGACACCCCCAGCAACACCCCTGGAAGCCTCTCAGGGAGCTTTCAGCAGCAGGCTGGGGCCATGTAGCAGGGCTGGTGGCCCAGGGGACACACAGGATGGGCACTCACATGAGTATGGGGACACATAGTGGCTGCCATACTTGGGGATGCGGACCATCTTCTCTGTGGTATGCCGGGTGCGGGCCTGTGGGTTCTTCACTGTTTCAAGGTGAGAAGCAGAGACACTGCTAGCACAGGGAGATGAGAGGCTGCTGATGCTTTTGCCACAGACTGGCACAGCACCGTCCCAGGTGCTGACAGTGGGACGTTCATGTGACTGCACAGCCTGGCCAGAGCTCATGCGCTGTCCCAGGGCTGATCCCCTACATGGGAAGTCCTTGCCCATGGTGGCAGTCCTATTGGTACCCGGTGAGTTTAGCCTGCCCTTGTAGATGACCCCATCGATGCCCAAAATATCCACTTCTCTCTAGAGGGAAGAGCAGCTGATGAGGTTGGAGGTGCCCCGAGGCTGTGCCCAGCCTGCAGCACTCCTGCCATGCCAGTACAGGCGGACTCAGTGGGTTTCTAGAGAACAGGGACAACGTGGATGAGTAGCTTACGTTATTGCAGATTAAGTCAGCTGGGTGTCTGCAGGGACAGACGGTGATAAGGGAGGTGGAGGTGGACAGTGGCCTGGCAGAACTTCCAGGGCGCTGGCTGGCCCTAGTCAGGAAGGGTAATGTAGGTGCTCCCTGTCCAGGGAGAGGAACCCCAAAGGGAGAAGGAGGGACACTGGTGCCTGGCAAGCCTCACCTCTCCGGCAGCTGCTGTACCAGGCAGTTGGAGGTGCTGGCTGGCTGGGGCTGGAGGAACTGGCTGGTCTTTCGGATGGTCACCAAGGGCCTGCAGGTGAGGACATGAAGGCCAAGTCAGGCAGTGGTCTTTAGTGGACACACATGGGGGGTCTGTCCTGGGGGATGCACAGTACTCACGGTGCTGGGGCCATGGCCAAGGGTCTGTTGCAGGAGATGCACTTTGCTGGACCAGAGAGCTGCCTGCAACACAGGTACAGCTGTTCAGTGCTCTGCCAACAACCCAGGGATGGCGTGAGGTCCCATGGGTGGCCAGCACCCCTTGCCAGGGTGGGACACAGAGTGTCTGGATGGGACAGTAGCAGCAGATGGGACAGCATGGGAGGGGTTGGGGCAGTGCAGGAGACGATGGAAGGGGACAAGGGATGGGATGGAGTGGGATAGGAGGGGACGCAGCAGCCCTCACCTCTTGAAGCCGGCAGCACGGCCGGCATTGCAGGGTCCCTGGCAGAGGCATTGCTGGATGAGCCCTCTCACCTGCTCCAGCTGTGCCTGTAGGGGAGCCAGTGCCACATGGTCCAGCTGCAGGGAGGGCAGGGGAGCTCATTAGGACACAAGACCTGTTTCTAGGGATGTTGCTGCCCCTGAGGGACACTGGGGACACACTGGGACACAGGGTCAGCCATGACGTAAGAATCATAATTTATTGGTGTTGGTAGATTGAGAGCTCACCCTCCCCACACAGGGATGTGCTCCCTGGCCTGATGCATCCTTTTATCCCTACCACCCTCTGGGTGATGCTTCTACCTTGGAGTCCATCTCATTAAGGAGCTTCTCTAGGGCATTCTGTGTGTCCTGGTCCATCTGGGACATCCTCTGAAGCAGGTCCTGCATCATCTCGCTCAGCTGGACCATGGCATGTTGTAGCTCCTCCTGGCTCACTTTGGTCTTCAGTGCAGCCTTGTCTGCTTTCTGAGGAGGGCATGGTGACAGCAATCCCCTGTACGCCCCCAGCCCTGCCACCATCCCTGCATGCCTTTGCTTACTCACAACACCCAAGCCCTGCTCCAGCAGCACCATGCTCATGGCTGGGTGATCCACCACCAACTGCCACATGTCCCCAGCCACCCACCGAGTGCTCACCTGGGTATCCTTGGTGTCACCCCACAGCCGCTCCGCAGCTTCCTGCAGCCTCGTGCATTGCTTCTGCAGTTGTCTCACCTGGCCCAGCACCTCCCTGCCAAAATCCAGGCCCTGGGGAGGATAAATGTGGCCCTCGGTGAGAAACAGGGTGGATACAGGACCTGGGTCAGGTAAGGATGCTTATGGGTGGCCCCAGTGAGTGGTTAGTGAGGGCATCCTGAGAGATGCCCCAGTGTGTCCCTGGCAAGCAGGGTGTGGGGCTGCAGCTCCCAGGTCCTCAGGCACTGTCCCCCCCACTCCAGGCTGGGCAGCTGAGCACCTTGTCTGCTCCATCCTGCTGGTGTTTTATCTCACTCAGCACCTTTTCCAGTCGGACAGCAATGTCCTCCAAGGTCATAGACTCTGCTGAAAACAGATACCAAAGCTTTGCTCTCAGCAGTGCTGGATCCTGCAGGCCCCCAGCACACCACCATCTCAAACCCAAGGTTGTTTAATGGCTGTGGAGTCCCTCCAACACTGTTGCCAGGACCCGCATTTGGCCAGCACTAGGATGTCATAGGCTGGTTCCCACCAGCCATGCCAGTGTGGCTGGGAGTGAGGCAGAAGGATGGGGGGCTGCAGTGGTTTGGGGACCCAGATGAGATGGCTGAGTATGGTGCTGCCATCCACCAGTGCTGGCAAAGGTCTGGCTGCACAACCCAGAATGGTGGCCCAGCATGGTGGGGATGTCAGTGCGCACCACGTTGCTGGAGCTGGCTCTCACGGTGACTGACATGGGTTTCCACAGTCTCATGCTGCTCCAGCATCCAGCTGAGCCTGCATGAGGCTTCTTGGCCCAGCTCCTGTGAGGCTTCAGGACTGAGCTCCCAGCTGGAGGGCTTCTGAAATGAAACAGCCCATGAGGTTTAGGGGAGAGAGAAGAGCCCCATGCAATTCCAGAGCCAAGGAGTGCTGCCAGCCCCCAGCAAAGGAGCTTGGCATCTGGGAACCAACACACACCTCACCAGCGGGCATTCTGCAGAGAGAGCTCCGGCACAGCTCCTGACGCACCTCCACCTGCAAACAGGAGAGAAATCAGCTTTTCACCCTGCTCTGGGAGGAGAGAGCCTGGGCAGCCCCTGGGATGGGGAGGCAGATTCCAAACCTTGCCACCACCCCCAGTGCCATCCCATCTCCAGCACTACATGCCTCCCAAGGCCTCAATCTAGATGGTTAAATCCTCCTGGCACTGCAGGAGGGACAAAAGCAGTGTTGGTGACCAGGATACCAGGGCACCAGCAGATGGGTGTCTCTGCTCTGGTGGGAAGATGACATAGACCCTGCCAGAAGAATCTCTGTGGGGCCAGATGTTTGCCCAGGCAGGTTGCTGCAGCCAGGAAAGCTTCTGGGAGGCTTGAGGGTATTTTCCATGAGGATTTGTGAAAGCCTGGCCCTGGACAGCCTAGGGACAGTCCCAGGGTCTGGGTGCTGAGTCTCTGCACATAGTGCTAAAGATGTCTGCTCCCAGCCCATCTGCCAGGGCTCCCCCCACTCACCAGTTGGTCCAGGATGCTCTGCAGGATGTGGCTATACTTGTCCTGCTGCACTGACAGCTCTTGCATCTCTTCCAGACTAGCCTGTTAACAGAGGCATCACGGGTTCAGCATCTCCAAGGGCTGGGAATGTTGAGGATCAGCCACCAGCAGGGATAGGCAGGGACTGGCAGTGCCCAGCCGTGGCTTCAGGCAGTGTCTGTCTGAAACCTCTGGGCCCCAGGGCAGATCCCCCATCTCCCAGCCTGGCCTCAGGGTGGGAGGGAGCTTGAGCTCCAGACCTCATCCATGTCACTCCATGCACCCTCATTATGCATGCAGGTGCCCAGGGAGCCCAACCCCTCTGCTGAGAGCTCTTCAGCAACTGTCCCAGCTCTGTGCATGCACCTTGTGGAAATTGTCCTTCAGGAGATGTAGCTCTTCCTCGAAGCCTTCGACGGTGGTTTTCAGGGAGCAGATGGTGGTGAGCACCTCCTGCAGCATGTCCATGACCTGGGAAACACAGGTTTGGTCAGTGATGCTGGGTCCCTACAGGCTCTGGGAGACATAGAACAATGGAAAGCTAAGCAGTGCACAGTGAAGACTGGAGCGTGGGGATGTCTTGGGCCAAATAGAGCTGTCAGCATCAGCCATTTGTCCATCCCATAGCCATGCCCGTGGAGCCCCCCCAAAATGAAGTGAAAGATGTACAAAGGGGACGAGTGCCTCAGTGCCAGTGCCTCACTCTGGCTAAGTGCTGCAGCCTTTTCCCTTTGCTCTGTGCTTGTGCTCTAAGCCAAGGTCACAACATGTGAGTTGGAACCGCACAGGGGCTGCCAGGTCTCACAGGCAGTAAAGAGAGGTTTGCTGTCGGCCAGCCCCACATGCTGCCTATGAAGACAACAGCAGGGCACAACTCATCCTTGCACTGAAACGTGTGGCACAAGCCAGGAAGATGGCATTGATGTTACATGTTGTGTTCCCCACTCAGAGCCTAAACCTGAACAGCCAAATAGCTTGAACTTGTGCAGTGGCGATGTCTCCCACAGGATCCTGCCTTGGAGTGGGAAAAGCCTGTCTACAAGGCAGCACTGCTGTCACTCACAGCTCAGACACTCACTGTGTGGAAGGGAAAGGAATGGAAGGGAAGGATAAAGGCAAGGCAAGGAAAAGGCACAGGGGAGAGAGGAAAGGGGAAAAGGAAAAAAGGGGAAGGAAAATGAAAGGGAAAAGGAAAAAAAGGAAAAGGGAAAAGGAAAAAAGGAAAAGGAAAAGCGGAAAGGGAAAAGGAAAGAACAGCCTAGGGCTACTGCAGCCCCCCAAGCACAGTTGCCAGGGCAGGATGGGACCCAACAGACTTAAATCTCAGAGTGAGTATGCTGGACACCCAGGGGCAGGTGAGAAGTGACCAAAACCACCTTTGCCCAGTGGCTGTGTTAAAACACTGCTCTTTAATTAATACCCATAGTGAACCTGGGGCCACTGGAGCACGCTTTGCCAGGCTTCCTGATCCTGAGTCAGCGTGTTTTCATGACATGGACATGTTACAGCGCAGGGCAGGTCACTGTGTGGGGCAGGATGCCACCTAAGCAGTGTTATCCGGTAGTGCAGTACAAGGCAAAGTCAGGACACCACGCAGGGCAGGGTGCTTGTGTAGGACACAGGACACTGCGCAAGGCAGAATGCCATGCTGACCAGAACCACCGGGCACACTGTGCTGTGACGCTGTAGGGCACAACCAGCAGGACATCAGCAGCAATGTGTCAACGTGACTGGTGCCCTGCCGAGGCCGAGCACCATCCTGAGGATGGCTTCTCACCTTCGTCATCGACGCCTCAGTCACTTCTATTCTCCTCTTCATCTGTGCCATTTGCTGCTCCGCAGGGCCTGCGGTGCCCAGAGTACCGCCAGGGCGCCTCAGCGGCGGCTGATAGAGACCCGCCTCGTCCTGCCCACCCTCCTGTAGCTGTATGTGCTCCGGGGGTCCGGGCAGGAGGACACACAGCCTGCCGACCTGAGTGCTGCCGCCGTTGGTCACGCTGGAGGCCACGTCCGCCAGCGTGATGGTGAGAGTCATGTTGCCTTCGGTCGCCCGAGGGGGGCCTCGGGCCGTGGCCGCTGGTGGGATCCCCGGCATGAGGTCACGGAGGACGTTACCTGGCGATGGCCCCGGCGTTCTGTCCCCGTCCTGGGCCAGCCTGGCAGGGGGAGAACGACGGGACCAGGCCCCGTCCCGGTGCGGCCTGGCTCTGGGAGCAGGCTTGGCCCGGTGCGGCCTCGCGCAGGGGAGCAGGCCGCGCTCCGCTGGTAGCTGTAGGCTGCGGCCCCGGCCGCGAGCGGCCCCGCGTGAGAAACAAGCCCCGGCCCGCGGCGGGTTCAGCACGGCCCCAATCCGCCCCGGCACCGCCCGCTGCCCGCCTCGCCTCGCCCCGCCCCGCCCCGCCTCGCCCCGCCCCGCCCCGGAGCCTGTGGGTGCCGGAGCAGCAGCTGGGAGGCGGCAGCTGGTAGGTGCGTCCCCGCCAGGCCGTAGTGGGGGTCGGGCCCCGGGGGGCGGTGGGGTCGGGCGAGGGAGGCTGTGGGCTCCGTGCCCCCAGGCCCGGGTAGGCCGCGGCGGCCTTGTGATAGCGGGGCCGGCTGGAGCGTGGGGACACTGGGCACGGAGAGGACACACGCAGGAGCCCTGCACCGTCCGCCGCTGAGACAGAGAGAGGGATGGAAATCAGTGTCCGGTTAACGCGCTGAGGAAGGACAGCGCGGCTCCAGGCAGGGAAGGTCTCTGTTCTCTGTGTGCCTGCAGCGCTTGCTGCGGAGGAGAGGTACGGGCCAGGGAGGCAGGCCCTGGACTTGGACTGGGCTTTGCCGTTGTCCGCAGCGGCCACAAAGTGCCGCAGCGTGCGACCAAAACCAGACAGAGCTTCAGTTTGTACCATCAGCAGTGCGGGAAAGGTTGGGACGGGAGGCTCGGGTGTGCTGGAGGGCTGGAGTAGCGGGCGCGGGGTGAAATTCAATCGGATGGAAAGTGAGGTCGTGTACTTGGGAAAAGGCTTTCAGCTGTAAGGAGAGCGCTCCAGCCCGGCCGCGGTCGTGCCAGCTTGTGGAGGGGACGGTGGAGAGCTGCCTGCAGGGCACCGCTATGAGAGAAGCAAAGAGGACCCGTTACCGTGACAGATCACCGGGAAGAGGGAGCCAGGCCTAGGTACAAGTGCGTGTGTTTGCAGTCATCCCTGCTGGGGAGAGATGAACTTGGGCTGGAACTGCCCGTTAAGTGATCAGGAATGATGAGCCCGTTTTAGAGGAGATGGAAGCAGCTTGGGTGTGTTGACAAGCAGGAAGAGAAATTATGATGATGGGCAGGGTATTGCCCATCAGCACAGTGGCAGTATGAATCCTGTTAAAAGAGGAGAGCTCATTCAGCTAATGGGAACTGCAGCACAACAAATACCAGTGAATAAATGTTAGTGAGAGCCTGGGAGGTCTTGAACCATTAGAGTGGTGAGACCTAGGTTCTGCCTCCCCAGGGGACTGGAGAGGCAAAAGCATAGGAGCTGTTAAGGCAGCACCCTTAATTTATGAAGAGCACAGTGGTTTGTGACTGCTGCTAAATGGAAGGATGGGGTTTGGGACGCCAGGAAGAGCTCCAGGTCTGTGCAGGGGAACAGGAAACAGGCAGGCTGGGATGGACACAGCCATGCCAACCTCCTCTGGATCATCTGCAGGAGTCATGCTCAAGGTTAAACTTCTCCAAGTCACTGCAAGCCTAGGTGGGTGCCCCTTGGTCTGAGGTGTTGCTGGAAAAGCTGCTCGGAGATGTGCTTGCACTGATGAGAACTGGTGAGGGGACTGGCAGTTGTCATGTTCCTGGCTGAGCCTGAAACATCAGGTGGTTGAGTAGGTCAGGCACAATGATTTTAAGTAGAGCTGTTTTAAATGGTAATTATAGGGGGTTTGGGCTGAATGTAGAACTAGCTGAGAAACGCTTTGTGAATATGCAACATAGCCTACTGTTTGTTCCCTTTCAAACTGTGCTTGAAATGGGGTTTTCCTTTCTGCTTTCCAGAGAGTGTGTTTGGAATAGGCAATAGGGGGAACTAGAATGAGTATTATGTAGTGTAGCATATAACCATAGTATGTCATTCATTCATTTTTAGGAACTAAAGGAGCTCGGGTCAGTGTGGAAAGCACAGGCTGAAAACTTCCCTTTCCCAAAGTTTTCTCTGTCTAAATGTTGTAGCGATGTCCGTGTGCCCCAGGAAATCCCTGGGAGCATTTAGTGATATAGCTGTGCTGTTCTCTCTAGGCATTATGTGAGGAAGGAATTCCTGCTTAGAGCTAGGGAAATGAGGACTTTAGGAACTGATGTGAGGCTGTCTAGTGGCATGGCTTGGGTACAAATGGGGGATGAGGCTGTAGCAAGGGTAGGGTGATGGAGCAATGTCCCCAGATGTCCGGAGTGATGCCACGTGGAGCAAATGTGCTCAGTCCTCCCCAGCTGCTGTGGTATGGGTGCTATGTCTGCTCAGGGAGGTGATGGGAGAGGGGATGTGCATGTTTGTATGCTGAGTACCAACAGATCTTGCAATGGGTGTGACTGGGACAATTAACGGAGAGGGAGTTTCTCTTTCAGAACCTGAGCCCTTCCTAAGCAGATGGATGACTGTGCCGAATTTCTTGTTGTGTTTCCTCTACAGGTCCTGCACCTGAAATTCACTTCCTCATGTTTTTATTCTGGTTGGAGCTGCTGTTATGAGAGAAGGGAGGGTGTCTCTGTCAGTGCCTTGTCAGTGCATGGCTTTGAAGCTCACTTCCTAATCAGCCATACTTTCTGTGCGTGAGAAATCACACAGTGATGCAAAGCGTAGCCACTGCTTTCCTTCTGGATAAAGCACAGCTAATGCACTCCTGTAGCTGAAGGGCATTCAGCCAGGGGTCATGCTGTCCACAGCTCCCACACTGTACGTGTTTCAGGGAGTTTTGGGTCTTTGGCACATTGGACACCAAGTGACACTGGTCACTTGGTCCATTATCATCTGCAGAAGTGTTCCTTTTGCCAGTGTTACTCACTAACATAGCAAGAGAAAGGATGAAAACAACTTTATTATGTAAAATATTACCTTTTTCCCCCTATTCAATGTGAATTTATCAGATATATACTCTTATTTAAAGGATGTGGTGATGCAAAGATCTTCCAGTATGAGGATGAGTGGGTTTGGAAGGAGATACACAGACTTCTAGTATCTGCTCTTATCCAAGGCTATTTTTTTCCTTATGGGTAAAGAGAAGTATGAAATTTGGTGTTCTATGTCTGTTTGTGGTACCATTGTAGAGTCATACATTTGATTTCTTAAAATTGCTTTAATTATGAGAGCATATCCTAGACTGAGAAAAGCTACTTTTCTTTAACTCTCTTTAATAGAGTTCTTTGCTAGGATCTGCACTGGGGCTGTGCATCGCTTTTGCTGCTATTACCAGGGCTCTGTACGTGTGGTAGTTTTCCAGTGTGCAGGCTCACATTTACTCAGCTTTGCACTAAGCCAAGGAAAAGATTGGTGGCTGCAAGGTTAAGCAAGGAAGCAATGGTATTTGCATAATATGGAGGTTAAAATAATAACAAAGATAGAATATACCGTCAAGTTTCTAGGCAGATATGCCGACTTCTCATTAAACTGTGATGAGAAGATGGTGTTCTCCCAGACTGATACAGGCAAAGCTGCTGAAAACAGGGAGGACAAGAGAGTTGGAAAACAACAAATAGATGCTGATATGCCTCATGGCTCTTAGCAGCAGTCAGTGGTGTTCTAAAAGGAAAGATTCTAACTATGCAGTACTTTTCCCTTCTCTCCGATGCAGTAAAAGTCATGGTTGGCAGTGGCAACTTAAGTTGTTCTGCAAATTGTTGGAGGGTTTTGGCTGGATTTTCTTCCAGGACCTGATTCTGCAACTGTTATGTGGGCAAAGTACTCTAGCCTGAAACCGACTCTCCTGAAGATTTAGAACAAGGTATCTGAGTGCAAACATTTGTGGACACAGATGTGTATGTACCTTCTTTTTCCTTCAAAAAAAACACACGATGAGCAACTTCTGCCTTGGGATGTGATACTCACCTTGCTATTTTCCTATTGTTCCCAATCAGCACTCGGCATTCATCCTGCAAGTGGAGAGCAGCAGTGCAATTTTCATCAGCAGTGTTAGATCTTTACAGGCTCTGCAAAGGACATACCTCCTCCTCTCATCAAAGGGAACACAATTAGCATAGGTGCCGTAGGAAATAACAATCTATTTCCTCAGCAGTATAATGTTTCTGAAGTGGGGTGGGGGGGACACAGGCTTTCTTTCTGGCATGAAACACTCAAGGAAACTCTTGGTGGCTGTTACAGTTTTGCTTTGGGCTTGTTTACTCAGAGGTACTTCATGGCTGCAGTCTAAAATTTGTTGTGGTGGAAAGGACTATTTGAGAGGCCCGTGCTGGTCCCAGATCTAGGTAAAGAATGGCAGTAGGAAGGAAACTGCTTCATGCCTTGCATCCCCTGAATGGGGCCACACGTTAGTGCAGTTATCTTTAACCAGGTGAATTTAGCAAAAGAAAATACAAGAAATAGCCCCAAAAGATGGAGATGTAAATAGCATCTTAGGAATTGAGAAGAACAGCTGCTGGCTCTGTGTGTTCAACTTCACATGATGAAACCCAGGAGGATCAGAGAATGAAGTGAGCTGGGGCTTTCCCTCCACTTAAGTAATGTATTTCTTTGTTACCTATTGTGATTAGTAAAATAATTCTGCATTAGTAGTAGTTATGTTTCCTTTGCCTCCTTTATACATAAGAAAATGGAATAATACCCAGTTCTCTTGTGGATTAGGAGAATTTAAGTTAAAACATTTGTGCTGAGATGGTGCTCCTTCTGCCCTGAACCAGTGTGCAGGCACATTCCCTATGGTGTATGTCCCCAACCCTTTGATACCCAGTCTCTTCATTTAGGAAGAAAATCTTCCCTACCTTGCCCTAACAGGCTGATTACCTATGAACAGTTTTGGAAGATGTGCTTTTGGAAGGAGCATTCTAGCTTTTTAAGTTTACACTGTTTCATCTTGCATTCCATCTTACAATCATAAATTCCATCTGTCACATCTTACTATGATGTGCACATCCCATGCACATCCCATGCTCTAGCTATATTTCATCTTTTTTTTATCCCCTTGCAATTTGAGCCACGAGAGCCTGTTTGCTTTGGGACAGTTTCCCTCAGCTCCATTTTGGCAGCTAGTGCAAAGGCTGGGTCTATGTGTGAAAGCATTGCAGTTATCCCAGCAAGTCCCAGAGCTGAGGTTAGGTCTGCAGGAGCTGCCTTCTCAGCAGGACGCATTCCCCTGCCCTGCCTGGGATGGGCAGTGGGAGACGTGGGGACCTGTGCAGGCAGCAGGGAGAGGCTCTTTAACCACTGCAGAGGGGTACGTCAGGCTCTCTGAGCTTCCCCCCTGGTTTATACTGCTCAAAAATACAGCCTACTCCCTAATAGGACTTTGCAGATGTAAAAAGGGAAAACAGAGAGGCTTGCTCTCCCTTGCTATTGGGCTACATGTGTAGACAATAGTGTACTTCCTGCCTCGCTCCAGATCTCAGCCACTACTGTTTTGTGATCACTGATGTCCCACAATGGTATCTGGTGAAAGTATCCTTACACAGGAAGCCCTGACTTACGTCATTTGACAATTGAATCTTTTATTGAGACAAGTCGTGGTGGATGAGGCGCAGTCACAAGCGAGCACAGGTTATCTGCCAGAGTCTGGCGATGGCGGGCATGGTCAGCCTGCTCCCTGCAGGGATGGACTCCGACGGTCTTTCTGCTTCTTACCTTGGCATCTTTAATCTGACAGTATCTCATAGTGCAAGATAAAATGAATCGAAAGGGATTTTTTTCCAAACATGTTTTGAAGC